TCCCCCAGGGGGGTTGTGATAGCCCCAGGGAGAGGCTGTGGCTGCCCCAAAGAGGCTGTGTTTGCCCTATGGAGGTTGTGGTTGCCCCAGGGAGATTTGTGGATGCCCCAGGGAGGTTCTGGTTGCCCTTAGAGGCTGTGTTTGCCCTATGGAGGTTCTGGTTGCCTCAGGGAGGTTTGTGGTTGCCCCAGGGAGTTTTTGGATGCCCCATGGAGGTTCTGGTTGCCCCAGGGAGGCTGTGGTTGCCCCAGGGAGGCTTTTGGATCGCCAGGGGGGTTGTGGCTGCCCCAACCCTGTCACTATTCATTCCAGTTTGGCTAAAGCCTTGAGCAACCTGCTCTGGTGGGATCTGTCCCTGCCCAGGGCAGGGAGAGTTGAGCCTAGATGATCTTTCAGGTCCATTCCAACCCCTTAGCCCATTAGGATACTGTGATTTTTGGGATGTACAACTGGTTTCATGTCCTTCCCCAGAGCCATTGACAAGTGTGAGACCCTGGTGAAGGAGCTTTACAGCAAGATGGGGCTGCAGTACCGTGAGAGCAGCTCCGAGGACGAGGCCCCAGGGGCCATGGAAGTGATTGAGATCCCTGACGAGGAGGAGGAGGAAGATGTTGTCATGAGTGTGGATTCAAGCTGGAAGAACAGTCAGTACCTCCCTGCCCTGAGATCTGAGTGTGCCCTGGCTAGGAGAGGGAGAAGGGAATGCTGGTGGCATTCATGACTTGCATCATGTGCCACATCCTCATTCTGTTCCATGATTCCAGACTGGGATTTCACCCTTTTCTCACATACCTGACTGTTTTCCCCATCCACCACTAGGAGAGTGACTGAGGAAAATCTTTTCTTGAGTCGATTTCCTGACAGGGTTTAGGGATGGAAGTTTTTCCCTGTTCCCTCTTCTCCCTGGGGTTTAATTAGGGTTGGAATTTTCCTCCCCAAAATTTTTTAAACCATTTTTTCCTCTTTATTCACAGCTAGCAGCAGTGCTGGAATCTCCAAGGATCAGACTCTGGTGAGTGGGAATCTTCTGCCTATGGATGACTCTTGGAGTAGAATTTTCCTAGGACACAGCATTGTGTTCAGTGTGAGTTTTTTGCATCTTTTCCTTTCTCTTCCCTCTTCTCCAGCTGCAGGAAGCAATGGCTGCTATGAAGAAATCTTCTCAGGATGTTCAGAGATTCATGGATGCTGTAAACAAGAAAAACTCTTCCCAGGATGCACAGAAAGGTGTGGGATCTTCCAGGGGCTGACAGACCCATCCTGGGCCTTTGCTTCCCATCCAGTTTCCCTACTGGAAAGCTCCACTGGGATTTATTTCCATTTGATTAAACAGAGACATTTGGACTGGCTGAGGGGGAATGGAAATAGGAATTTCTCCTGCTGCAGGTCCAACAGATGTGCCTGGAAAAAAAGAGCTTTGGGGACACTTTGGAACTTCTTTTGTCTTGTTATTTTTTGGTAGATGCACAGAGCCCTCAGAAAACTTCTGGAACTGCCCAGCCCAGCAGCCCTGCAGTCCCTGGGAATGATCTCAGCCAGGATGGAGACCTGAACGTGGGCATGAGGATTTTGGGCAAAAAAAGGATCAAAACGTGGCACAAAGGAACTTTAATTGCCATCCAGACAGTTGGTGGGTGCTGTGCATGGAGCTCTCCTGGGGCTTTGGGAGGGTGACATGGGTTAAAAGCTGTCAGAGCACCTGGAAGGAGTTGTGAAAAGCAACACATCTCCACTATTTCCCATCCCAAATCCATTCTTGAAAGGATTCTCCCTGAATTCGAAACCAATTTGGAATAAACTGGCACAGAACCACACAAGAGTGTTGAATTTCTGGGGGAAAAAAATCACTTGGCTGTTCCTGATTATATTTTTTTTCCCTTTTCTTTGCCTTTTCTTGGTCTTCCAATGTTTTTCCAGGTGCTGGCAAGAAGTACAAAGTGAAGTTTGATAACAAGGGGAAGAGTTTGCTCTCTGGCAATCACATTGCTTATGATTATCACCCTTCCTCTGACAAGCACCACGTTGGCAGCAGAGTTGTGGCAAGGTACAAGGATGGCAATCAGATGTGGCTCTATGCTGGAATCGTGGCTGAGACCCCAAATGTCAAGAACAAAGACAGGTAGTCATTGTTTCTTCTCATCCTGCACCTCATTTCTTGGCTTTTAGGAGGGGGGAAAAAAAAAAGAGCTGCACCCTCATTTCTTGGCTTTTAGGAGGGGGAAAAAAAAAAAAAGAGCTGCTTTGTTGGAATATAGAATCATAGATTTTAAGGGTTGGGATGGAGATTAGAGATGATCTAGGCCTAATTCTCCCTATCCTGGGCAGGGATAGATCCCACCAGAGCAGGTTGGTTAAGGTTTTATCCAGCCTGGAATGAACAGTGATAGAGTTGGAGCATCCACAGCCTCCTTGGGGTATCCACATCCTCTCCTTGGGGAATACACATCCTGCTTGGGGCATCCAGAACCTCTTTGGGGC